TACCACTCCCGTTACGCAGGGCACATACGCACGTCTGTGCTCAAGATCACATCTTCCATTGCTTACTTTGTCGGCGTTGGACGTGTCGCACAAATGCCATAATGTGCAAGGCGCTGAAAAAACCAAATCTACCCCTTATCTTATGCACTTTTTTTCATGCGATACCTCGTTTAGGTAAGGCATCACTTTAACCTTCTGCCTGTCACTATTTTCCGTTTTTTTTCCTTCACTTGCACTTGCGTTATCGTCAGCAGTTGTATTACATTAGCATAAGACCCTCGAAATCGATTCTGCTACCGCCTGAAGCAGCGTCTGCGGCAAACCTGCATTTCTGAGACGACTTACTTGTGAACAAGAACTACCTTTGACTCTGTGGTGACAAGACTAGGTCAAATATGACTTTAAGCATGACATTACCACGCCCCACTTCACAAGCTTACAGTGAGAGAAATCAAAAGGCAATAGGGCCCTGTTCGTGCGGGGTGAGTACGACCAGCACACGTGTTTGCTGTCAATGAAAAGAACTTTAAATCTAAAAGCTGCAGAGATTCATTGTCAAAAAAAAAACCGAAAGTAAAATTCAACCTAGTTGCTGTGACTTTAAAGCACTGATAAATACACTTCACTATCTCTTCAAGGTCATTGTCACAGCCAGTTTTATTTCTTCAATGTCATTGTCACATCTACTTATCTACCAACACCAACAATGTAATCGTCAGTAAGCACAAAAAACAACGAAGAATTCACATCTGCTAAACATATATTAGCAAGCACTAGTGCCACTCAAGACCCTATGAATATGCCTTGCTTTCACACGTGAGAATTCTTCGGGAAACTCACAATTGTAGAGTTAAGTCTCCAGCAGTTCCAGGAATCCCCCTATTGAGACACTATTTGAATTTTGGAAAGCCACCGCACCAGAACTTTCAATGCATTTGCGAACTGCGCTGAGCAGGTCTTCCAGGGGAATCGAGTAGAAAAGCTCCTCAATGTCGACCGAAATCCGGAATTCGCTCCTAGTGTACTATCTTCGAGCAGTACCACCAGACGGTCTAAACTCGCGATCTTGTACGGGCCCCCCGGGGTCAGCCCCAAAAGCTGCCTCTGCAGGTACCGGCTGACATTAGCCTGCCATGTTCCCCGCTCCATGACAATAGCTCGGAAAGAACAATCCACCTTATTTCTTTTTGCACTGAAGAATAGGTGAGTGCATGAACATTGTTTTTCTTCATTTCGCGTTCTATCCTGTATAGTTTTCAATCTTCCAGCAACGCCACTACTTTCTTTTGTGCTTCTTGCGCGTTCATATACGGAATCCAAAAATTTATTCTTTACAGCGGCCAAAGACTTGTCACCAAATGACCCCGGCGGCATGACTACGAAGCTTCAATCCTTGTCCGCCAACATGAGTGCATGGGCTGAGTCCTTCAAATATCCAGCTATTCTTCGCATCAAGCGGGTGGCATCCTTCTTGTAGCTGCTCCGCACTGCCTCTGCGCATTCCTGCGATAGCGCTCTCTTTCTTCCATATGCAATTTGTCCGCAATGCTATGGGCAGTTGTCAGGAGTTAATGCTTGGTAATTGTCTCAGAAATACAGGTTTCCTGCAGACGCTGTTTTAGGCTGTAGCAGAAACACTTTTGAGGTTCCTGTGCCAATGTACCACAGGCGCGGACGAAAACGCAAGGGCAAAGGAACAAAAAGAATCGGAAAAGAGTGAAAGGCAGAAGGTTGAAGTGATGCCTTACTTACAGGATGTATCACATAACATGAAAAAGTGGCAGAAAGATATGGGGTCGTTTTGATTTTTTTCAGTGCCTTTCACGTTATCGCGTTTGTGCGGCATGTCCGACGTGAACAAATGAAAGAATTGAAGATGTGTTGTTAAGCACAGACATGCGTAGGTGCCCTGTATAATAGACGTGGTCTACGAGTTCCCCCTCAAATGTAGAATGGTTTGTGTGGGGCAGGTTGGAAGGTGTAATAATATGCGTTTGATGGAGCATGCTGATTCTATAGGAGACGGGAGTGGAATGCACCTACCAATATTTTGTGGCACATGCGTGTAGAAACTCAAGCCCATCTTCAGCAGAACCAAGGTGTGAGAACAAGGTAAGGGCCAATGGGCAAGAGAGATCTTGGAGGCATCTTGGATGTGCGTGTGCCATTCTAAGTTTGTTGTCAAAGTTACACCAGTTTCTTTATATCCATGACACATACTGGACTTTGATTGTCATTAGTATGTGTGAAATTAAGAGGATGTCTCTGACTTAAAATGTCGTGACTATACGAGCCTGATAAGTGCGTTAGTGACTCATCTGTGTACCTTTCCAGCAAAGAGCGCGATTTGATTTTTAGTTGATAGAAGTCTTGCAACTTGTCCTGTGGTCTTGTTTGTCTTTGCGCATGCGTTTAGTTTGTTTCAAAAGGGGTGGTGTACATTTTCAATAAAACAGTTGTTAGTTTGCGACCGTCCTGTCCACTTCGTTCTCGTGTCTCGTTTTTAGCACAGTTAGAATTTTCCGAAAAATTTCTTACGTTCAAACACGGAAGTAATCTGATGTACAGATCACATCAGGGGGGTCTCAAAGCTCGGTGCTTGGGTTACTGGCTACTTTTGTTTATTCTTTATAGAAATGGCGTAGCATCGATGATCTTTGGCACTAACCCAAACTTGAAATTTATGCAGACGACTGTCGACTGTCTCATCGGCAAAACCACCTATAATACTCAAGATCAGGGTGCACTGAATATTTTTTTATCACCTTGTAAGCTGAATGAAACATGGTAAATGTCTATTAAGTGCAAAAATATTGTAGTCATGACCTTTTTAAATCAGAAACATCCTCTTAATTTTACTGCATGCTAATGACAAAGTCCAGTACGTGTCACCGATATAAAGAAACATGTGTAACTTTGACAACAAACTTAGAATGGCATGCGCACATCAAAGCAGTCTGGAACAGGCTCTTCGAAAACTTTGGTATGTCTGACGCTCGCTAAGCAACCCATCAAAAGAATACGAAATTGCAGCGCATAAGACTTTGGTCCGACTAACAATAATTGTTGAGGCTTAACGTTCCAAAATCACCATATGACTATAAAAGACGCCGCACTAGAAGGCTCTGGAAATTTGGACCACCTGGGATTCTTTGACGTGCATTGAAAGCTGAGCACATGGGCCTCAAACATTTTCGCCTCCGCCGAAAATGCGGCCACCGCGGCTGGGATTCAATATCGCGACTAGCGGGTCAGCAGCCGAGTGTCTCAGTCACAAGACCACCGTGGCGGCGTATTTCCGCAATACTCGAGCATGCTTCGGTTATTTTGCCACCTCACCACAGACGTGCTGTGTATGTTAGGTTCGGTTAAAAAGAAAGCAATAAGGTTTATATTTGGCCGCCATAACCAGTGCTTCTCGCCTACTTCGAAATTCGCGTGTCTTATCGGTGCAGCTCCTCTTGAACTTCGGCACATTTACAATCGTGTCATCCCTGTGCATAGGGTAGTTCACACCGGTTCGAGTGTCACAGGTCTACGGCCTCCTTGTATCATCGCGTCGCATCGAGGTCGGAAGGCGTCAGAATACTGACGTTCCTTGTGGCACTATTTAGGCACCCACATAGAGGCAAAGCCACGCTAGCAACTGGGAAAACAATATGGTAATGTTTTTTTACACTAAAAGAAGCTTAAGCGTCTGTCCACTTCACTGTTAACAAGGCTACCGTACAAGAGCCGAAATAATTTGCTTAAAAATGGTTTGAATTTTGGTCGGAGTTCTCTTCCTTTTCTACTATGTCTCCCCCTGACCATACGAGATCCCGTCGTGATGAATTTTAATGACATTCGTTCGAAATACTCACATGAAAATTCTACTCTGTTTCAGGGTCTATTATTAAAACATCTTTCTGCCGGATGAGATTAACAATAAGTACTTAGTTACGAAGTGTTGATCGCAAAAACAGTTTTATAATTCCGGTATTATACGTCGGCAAATGAAGAATTGAATTGAACAGCATGTCATCTGGAAGCAATATATAAAATATTCTGAACAACTCTGTATTATACACGTTTTTATTCGTTCCTTGCTGCGGCCCACGTTTTATCGTACAAATGAATTGACCTACCATTCTTCGACCATGTCTTGAACAAATAAGGCAGAGTTACGTATTATTGTATAGATAATTGTGAAGAACAAAGTACAGTGGGCTAATTGAGATATAGCAATTTTCGGAGCACTTCAGAACAGTTAGGCGCATTTTACTGACAAATGAATATTCGACAACATTACAAAAATACAGTTCTTAAACGCTTAAAAATCTGTGCTCACTGAATAACGATCATTCATTATTAGGTCTGTAGACACCTTTTTATATTTTACAAGTTCTCTAGTAGGCAAAAGCACGATCATACAAGAAATATTTTTGCCGCGCAATGGTTCTTGTCATCACACCATCCTCAACCGGAACGAACAAACACAATAGTTACAGCGTGTTTGTTGTAGCTTAATGCTGTCAAAGGTTACGGTTAGCATTACAATTGTCTTGCGTTAAGCGATACATTCGTGTATACTCCTCTTACTGCTTTCAAACGAAGAAATGGAATCGTAAAAAGTTTTTTCATTCGTAAAGTAAATGCAGCCATTCGTTCAGGATGTACATTTTATGTGCCCGTAATAGCTTTATTTTTTACTATATAATCTATACGTTCAAGCATTATTCAACGTAGACAAATCAGCATTTATTATGTCAGCCCTTTCATTTCGACCAGCATAGTTTGCAGTTCAAGTTGTTTAACCTGTATCATCAACTTGTCCACCTATCGATATTTTCTTCAACGCCCTGACAAACAAAGCAGTGCTTATAGTACTTCAAAACATTTAAAATTAATTGTTCACGTTGGATCGCCGTATCGCTTGTTAAACTATTAGCAAAGGATTTCACATGGACATATGCTGAACTCATTGAGTGAATATCGTTCCTTTTCTTTCATTACTGTAGGTGAGCCTTGACTTTAACCAGCTAAAGCCCTCTGTTAAAATCATGCTGACCGGATACCAGACCACACGTGAGGTATGTGAGAAGCCATGATGATGATATGTGGGATCTAACGTCCCAAAACTACCATATGATTATGAGAAATGCTGTAGTGGAGGGCGCCGGAAATTTTGACCACCTGGCGATTTTAACGTGCACCCAAATCTGAGCACACGGGCCTACAATATTATCACCTCCTTCCAAAATGAAGCTGGCGCAGCTGGGATTCAATCCCATGACCTTATTTGAGAAGCCATGAACAACGTCCATAGTATAGAGAACCAGCGCTTGTATTTTTGTGGTGCGCGCAGCGCCGTCCTAGCAGGCAAAGCGCACAAGTTCTTTCCGCTTCTGCGTACGAGAGCGGCAACTGGTTTAGGGGTGCACAGGTTGCCGAAACAAAACAAAAGGACGCTGGTGGTACCGTTGTGCATTGGAGTACAAAAAAAAACGCAGAAAAAGACAGGACGTGTCCTTCTATATTTTGCCTTACTAAAAGTTTGACGGAGAACGTGAGTGATCACTTAACGCCCCTGAATAAGTCAATAACCAGCAGGACTCTAGCTCTAGAAAATCCAGGAAAAGTAAATCGTTGTGGACAGATGGTTGTAGAATTAAAGCCAGGAAAAGTACTGAGAGCACGGTCTACGGCATTGCCAAGCAATATGAGCTCTCTTTTATAATCTAGACCCCGCTGTTTCTTTTCTTTTTTCGCTATCGCGGTATGTGATTAATTATGTCTGCGTGCCTGAACACTTATAAGTCGGATTAATTTCTTTCTAACATTGCATGCTCACTTATTCACTTTAATGTACATAGCATTCGAAGCATGATGACATTCAGAATATTCTTTCTACAACCACCAAGTCATTTCCTATCATTTTTTCAATAAAACGTAATTTTGTGACAATGATAAAAATATTTTCTGCTTCCTTACCTACTTATTGGATCACGAATACACAAAAACAAGCAGCCGTGTTGGAGCAGCCATCTACGTTTTATTAAACCTATCCTTCCAGCGACTACACAATTTTGCCTTTGCCCCGCCATGGTAGTATTGTGGCTAAGGTAGTCGGCTGCTGACCCGCAGGTGGCGGGATCGAATCCCGGCTGCAGCGGCTGCATTTCCGATGGAGGCGGAATTGCTGTAGGCCCGTGTACTCAGATTTGGATGCACGTTAAAGAACTCCAGGTGGTCAGAATTTCCAGAGCCCTCCACTACGCCGTCTCTCATAATCATATGGAGGTTTTGGGACGTTAGACCACACATATCAATCATTCGATCAATCAATCAATGAATTTGCGTTTGACTTATCTAACTGTGAAGCTGTATGGGTAAGATTCATTTGACCCTTAACATTGAGAACAAAAATATTGTCTTAGATTGCACTTATAGTTCACCTTCTGCCATCGTCAGTGTTTTTACAGTGCTTATGGTCTAGAATCAATACTATCGAATAATAAAAATGTAATCATTGTTGGTGATATAAATATCAACCTAATTGAAAACTTGTTCGTCAACTTCATGACATATTCTAGTCGCTTAAAAGGTAAAACTACGAGTACCTAATCACTCGAGGTGCACGCCTCTCTCTTGATGAGGGAAGCTCACTGATTTTTCAGCCACTATCGCACCCTCTGATCTCCTCAGAAGAAGACATACTTATTAGTGATATCCCCGATCATTGTCCCATATTTCTTAGGGACAGTTCTTCTCCATTTTCCCGTTCTGCATGCTCTCACAAGCTTATTTAGAGTAAGGAAGTACTGAGCAAAGGCATTTTTGAGTCAAACTGTATGGTTCACCGAGACGAAGGACAATGACCCTCTATAAACATTCGCGCACTTTCTGTCTTTGTTTTCAAAATGCTTTCACTCCTACCTATAAGAAAAAGATACAAGAAAGTTCTAATGCATCACCGCAAAGGTCATGGATTACTGAATAATTACTTAAAGCTACATGCAAACGCAAGCAAATCTACAAAAAACAATCATTCAGTGTTAAACTGAGAGCACACTTTGTTTCACGACCACCCTGGCGGTGAGAGCATGGACTTCTCAGCTGCTCCCGCAGACGAGAGTGGTGGCCGGTAGAGGCGGTGCATGCGCGCATCGCTGTAACAAATCTGAATGGCGCTGATGGTACTGCTGCGTATTTTAGTTAAACCTTATATAAAAAGAGGGATCACGTATAGAGGAAAACGAGGACGTAAAAAGAGAAGGCGGTGTTGCATCCAAAAGGTCAAACGAGCGAAATTCTGCCCTCGCTCTCCTGTCTAGTGCTGTCAGACTCCTTTCTATACCGAACGGTGCGTGTCTGCTATAGTAATTCGATGGTGAAGACTGTAACCAGTGCAGACCAAAGCCAAAGAGTTGAGTTTGAACGACGCTTTGCTGGAAATAAAACGAGCGTATTATGCAACATACGACCTATGAAAACTTTTTTTTTTCATCTAGCCCGCTAAGCATTGAGTCGTCCACTTCAGGACTAACAAAGTCTTTATGTGTCCATTCATCTGACCACCACCACCAAACTCTGATGCCACCACGTAAAGTGAATCATACGATAAGCAGGCAGTCTTTTTTTTTTGTAAACAGTTGCGTGTAAAAGCAAGCTTCCTTGCCCACGCGATTGTGTGGGGCCACGTTCACCTACGCCTCCGAGCTGTTATAAAAGATATTCTCGCGGTAAACACTCCATGTTGACATGTCTCTAACTTAATTTGTGTGAAAGACAAGGTTCTTGTTACGAACGAAGCAGTGGACTTCACAAAGCTTAGCTTTGTGGAGTCAGCCGATGCGGTAAGCGTCTTTCTCACTGGATGCGGTGGCTGAGTATAACCTCGGAATTTATGCTTTGCTAGAGCAGCTTTAAATGTCTTCGATTTATACTCGTTGTTTAGTTCGCCTAGCATACAGCTTCAGTTTTCCCGCTTGCTTGTGTCGGCCTAAAATGAAGGTGTTTGTTCAACATCGATAATCGCTAGGCTTTCATGTGCCAAACAAGTTATCATTTTGAGGTACGCTGTAGTGTGCGTATCAAGATTTTGACCGCTTGGGGTTCTCCAATGCGCACACATATCTTTGTTCATGGGTATTCCTTTTATATTTCAGCCCCTTGGAGTGCAGCTGCCGTACGTGCGTGGTCACTAATCATCCCGCACCCTCAAGAACAGTAGCGCAACGTCACACCTGCTATGCTGCCATAGTGGTTTGCTTGATCGACGCCCACATGCATGCATACCGCGGACAGGGCGTACAAATTAACGATGCCACAAAGAAAAAATTGACGCAGCCACCACTTACTTTGCTTTCGTTTTGTTTTACTGCAGTTGTTGGCAGCGTGGTATCGTCGCAGCATGTACTTATGAATAGAGGCATGTCAGCCAGTACTAGCATTAGCCCGAAACTCACCAGGCAAACAGAAAATGATGACGAGGTAGCTTCAATTACGGCACATTACTGTCCTTCCGATACTATATGCATGGACGCAGTCCGCTTTGCAGGGCTTCTCTCTGTTTTTAGCGCTTTTTACGTGAGAGTAGCCTTTGGACAAGGTTACTTTTCTAATACGAATTGCAGTATTACTGGCGCAATGGATTTTTGAGCTGTTCTTTCCAAAGTGAAGCGCAGCAGCAGCGCACGCGCGTGCTCCCAGAGTGGTACACTGCGGGCAATCATCGGTGCGCGAGCTGCTGGGTTGTGTCATGACTCTCCGCCAGGTGCTCTCTTTCGGCGCGCTACCTATCCAGTGCTAGTCCCCCATACGATATACTGTAACTATCTCTATTCACAGTTAAAAAAGCAATAAGATACTTTGAACGAAAATATTAGAATGCGAGAGTAACGCAGAAGCAAAATAGAATGAATGAAGTTAGTTTTTAAATAGAAATAACAGCCACGGAAACATCACTTGAATAATTCATAATGGCGTTGTGCACTCAAACTTTCGCGACATTGGTCACGCATTCAGTGATGTCTTTTTTCAAGCGACAATCACATGCTAAAAACAGCCTATCATGGCTGTTTTTAGATTCGTAAACGACCATCTCATTGTTGCCCATATTGGTCATAACCATTTTGACATGGTAGAGACAGAAACTCTAACCATGTTCATGGCAGAGTTATCTCCTCCTGGAGCTGACGCATAAAGTTCCAGATGACAATTTCATGAGGTTTCTTGACCTCAGGCTGTAACTTTCGCCAGAAGCATTGGGCTGGAGCTATGAATCACGAGGAAATAACCCGGTGCTTCAATTCACGTCCGCTCACTCAAAATTGGTAAAGCGTGCGTGATAAATTTCTGTTTTCAAATTTACTGGTGAAGTCTTGCCACCACAAGTTTGATGCAAGCTTGTGGGCTTAAGCTAAACGTTTGATGGACTCAGGTTATCTTGTGCGCCTCTTAGCCACAGACGCAGAAAATACAAGCAGGAAAGGAAGGGCTAACGCCTGGGGCCAGACAGCCGCCTCTAAGGCAGCCAAGGTTGCTGTAGTGTTCTACACGCATGTAATTTCGCATAATTTGCGAAAGGATAGTGGGAAAGACTGGTGCAGATGTAGTGTTTTCTGCTCTCGAGTGGTTCAGAGGAATGTACGAAAAGGTTCATTCAGACAGTAGTGGGAAATGAGCTTGTAAAATCAAGCACCGGGTGAAATTTGTGAATTCTTGTTCTAGTGTTGTCTATAGCACTCCTTTAATTTGTGATCACATATACATAGGCTAATCTGGAAAGTGTGTGAACGAATGATTTAGTGAACACAATTACAACCTAGGAAAAGCTTTATCTGGACATTTGACCCTTCACTGTCAGAGGTGTGGTAGCGTCCCTGCGTTTCAAAACACCCGTGTTCTCTAGGGCACGCGACAGAACCACGCGTGAAATCATTGAAGCCTATGGAATTGACAAAATGAAAGAAAAATGAGTAAGTGTGGCTTTCTTAGCTGGTCACTTGAAGAAAAAAATGTATCTAGAATCTTCGCTTTTACGTTGGCGAGTGCAGACTGTCACAATCGGTGATGACACGTGCATGAG